GATTCCCCAGCGCTGTTCCCCTCCCCCAATTCCCCAATAAAATCTTAAAAAAGAAAAAAATCAACCGCACAAGAACAGGAACCTCAGCCTCACAGCAGTTAAAGCGGGAAAAAAGGTTCTGAGTGGGGGTGGGGGATGTTGGCTGGTAATCAGCTTAGGTATGCGTGTGCTGCACTAAACGGGTGTCAGGTTCATTCCTTGGTAATGTTTTTTGTTTGAGTCGTGCGCAGCACACAGGGAGTGTCATTTCCAGTCTGGGCATCACATTAAGAGGAACACCGAAAAAGTGGAAAACACACAGACGTAGGGTGACCGGGGCAAAGAGGGCTGCTGGACACTGTGCCAGGCAGGCATAGTGGGACGAAAGAGGGTGCTGAGCTTGAAGAAGGCAAGGGTCAGGCGCAGTTGTTTTCCATGTACTTCAGGGCTGCTAAACACTTAGAAGCAGGAAATAACATAAATTCATAATGCATGTGAAGCTCGGCACACAGTACTATGCCCGATTTTAAAGGATAACAAGAAAAGAGCACATCAAATGAGGTAAGTAATTAGCAGTGATCAGACCAGATCATTAAGGCTTTAGCAAAGAAAACACTTGCTCAAAAGTCAGGAAACCAGGCTGGGCTGGACCCTCCACTCGTGCCACCCAAGCTAAGGAAGCACAAACTCCAGATGAACCCAGGGAAATGCCTTCACCACTGGAATCTTGCCACATTCTACACATCACCGGTTCCCAAGCAAAGAATGTCAACAACCAAATCCTTAACGAGTCAGACCTGCTTCCGGTCTTCATGCGCCCAACAAAGAGAAGGGTTTCATCTTCAATCAGTGAAAAACAGAGAACTTTTCCAAGCATACCAAGCTAGCTGCTCTCCCTCCAGGCTGAGAGATGGAGCAGTCAGTGTGTGCGAAGGGCGCCAGGTCATAAGGAGAGGTGACCAGCTGTGTTCGAAATGTACTAAGTTTTGGGGCAAAGGTATATATTCCTCATACAAAATGATCAGGTTAATGCAATGACAGTGACTGTCTAACTGAAGAAGACAATAATTCTGAATTTTCCATGGAGTCAAGTGAACAGGACAGAAGGGTCTTCAAACATCAACCAAACCTAATAAAAACTCTCTTTGATCCTGGGCTCTAAGCCATGGTAATGAGCTTACACATAAAGCCCAGGTAGATCAAGATATCAGACAAGACTCAGGGTATTCTGTGACATACAGTGGGATGAAGAGGTATAAAGACCAGTCCACTGGAGTCTAGAAAACGAAAATTAAACCTGGTTTTCAATATAATTTTTCTATAATGTTCAGATTTTATTTCCTTGAATTGTTGGGTTCTTTTTTTCCATACTAGATAACAGTGGTTAGCCAGGTTATAAGAATTTATTTGAGCAAACCACTGTATGAAACAGTGCATGTACTCAGATGTTATGAAAAAACAATGTAGGGTAGTAAAAATAGGACCAGGTGAGAGTTAGACACCCAAAGTTCTGGCTTTGGCACAACCATGTGAAATAATGGTAATTTCCCCAGATTTCTATCAACTGATGAATGTATAGACAAAATGTGGTATATCCATGTAATGGAATATGATTTGGCAATAAAAAGGAAGCAGTATATGCTACAACTTGGGTGAAGTTTGAAAACATCATGCTCAGTGAAAGACGGCAGACCACCTTAGGCCATACATGATTCCACTTATAGGACAAGCCCAGAATTGGCAAATCCATAGAGATGGAAAGTGGGTTAGAGATTGCCAGGAACTAGGGGGAGGGGAGAATTGGGACGGAGTGCTAATGGCTTTTTTTGTGGGGGAGGGACGGTGATGGAAATGTTCTTGAATTAGATAGTGATGATAATTGTACAACATAGTGAATATGCCTACTTTAAAATGGTGAATTTCATGTTATGTGAATTATGGCTCAATTTAAAAAAAATAACAAATAAAATAACACTGGCCAAGTTTAGAGTTCATTTTTTGAGTGGGTAATCCCTAAGAACGGTTTTCTGAAGAAGAAACCAAGGCTCAGAAACATTGATTCACTTGCCCAGGTTCACATAACTGCTGTGTGGGGACCCAGGTCTGTCTGATTCCCAAGCCCATGCTCTGTTCACTGTGCAATTCTGCTTCATCCACTGTTATCTTCTCAGTGCTGCAGTCTACTCATCTGTACAATGAAGTGTTAAAATGCGTCATCTCTAAGTTGCTTTCAACATTCTAGTAATTGGGGATGCTACACTCCCAGGAAGAGTTCTGGGGATCGGAAGGGCGAACCATCCCAACAACACCGACCCAGTGCCAAGGACAAAACATAACCCTGGGAAAACACAAACATTCCTTTTATGTCCATGTCGTCCTAGGCCTCTTGGACATTTTCCAATAACCCGAAAAAGATTTCACCTGGAGGGGCAATTCCTTTAAAATTGCTTTTGGGATTCTACCTTTTGTACTAAAACTCTGAACAACTGTTGAATTGTACATGGAGACCTTCTTTCCAGTACCATAAAGGCTGGCCCATGGGTTCAGAATACAAGATCCTAAATATCTTTCCCATCTCTACTTTCATGGAAGATCCAAGAACCTTGGGAGGTTCCATGCCTTAGAGTATTTTATTCCTTCTGCAGAGTCCACGCTCAGCAAAATTACAAAGCCAGAGGAGTTCATCTTCAGTTCGGCATCATCTCCCTGTCCTCTCCTAGCTTCCTAGCAATAAATAAAAACCCTGACACCTTCAGGGAACTGTATGACAGGTTATTTTATTCCTTCCTGGACAGAGAATTTTCTAAGGTCATCTAAAAGACAAAGTGTAATGAATGAATTATGGACACATGGTGCAAATTGGTGAGAAAGAGACTTTCAGGCAGAGGGTAATTTTCTTACAATTCTTTGAATTACCTTAAATGTAATGACCCCCACATTCCCTATCCATTGGTGTTGAAATAACTTTCCAAGCTTTTCCAGGACCTTTGGGGCTAATTCATACTTCCAAATCCCTTTTTCTGTTCAGTAGGATTCTTATCCACCATTAGAATCTGTAAACTTCAAAGCCAACATTTGAGAAAGAAGAAACAGAATACAATCACATGACTTAGAAAAATAGCAGGTCCCTGTTCATTAGCAACATGTAAAATTAGCCTTTTAGAAGCTTTTCTACAATATGATTATTCTTTGATTTCATCTCAAAATTTGAACCTGCCCTCCGATATGCAAAATTATTAATTCAATCAAAATTTACTTGATTTTGATCATCCCAGGCTAGCCTTAGGATAAACAAGGAAAGACCAGCCTATTGGCAAATGAGGGTCTGAATGCTAGCTTAGGACCCTCCCTCTGAAAATGTGTGTGGTTCTTCATTTCACTTGGCCGTTGCAGGCATCTGTTCTAAATGGATCCCTTCCTCCTTCCCTTCACTTAAAAAGGGCTTTAGAAAGTGCTGAGGACCTCCTCTGTTTCTTAAAGCTCTGTCATAATCCTGGACCCTGGGCTCTGTGGGGGTGGGAGGCCTGAAAACGGGTTGTCAGGTGAGGCAGGTGCCTGGAAAAGCTGAAGCCTGAAGTTTGAAGAACAAGGACGGGGAGGCAGGAGATAAGACGGGGCACAGACAGGAAGGTGTTGGAAAGCCAAAGGCTCGCATTGTTTATCCATGCCCTGATTGCATCGAAAGAGCGCTTGAGACAACTGTGTTCTAGTTTGATATCCTAGACTGTTTTGCCAAAGCCCTTGGGAGCAATTTCCAGGGTCCTCTGAAAATCATCTTGGGCATTCAGCTATCGATTACTGATGCCTGGCACACAGTGTGAACCCACAGAGGGATGCCATCAAATTGAACAATGGGTGTATATCTGTGTAACTGAAAGTAACTTGGATCACCACCCCTGGGCACTAGCCTGGACTACAGTGCCATGATAGCTCAGAGAACGCATAACAGAATTCTGGAACTCAGACTTTTTATCAGCGTAGACATCCTTACTTCATCTGAGAAGGTCAGGTCCCCAGTAGACAACAGGAGAATAAACACTGGCTGTAAGAAGGTGTTTATATACCAATTATTATGACAGAGTCTGAATTTCATGGAACAGGACCAGCGGCTAATAGCTACCCTAACATACACATAGGGCAAATGGCGATCAAT